GCCACAGTGAGTACAAAAAGGCCGATGTTTCTGTCCAGCACCATGACCTTGACCCTGACTCGGACCAGAAGATCGTCCAGCCATAGCCAGCGGAGTTGACGCAGAAGGAGCACCAGAAGGATTCAGCTGTCGCTCATGCTGAATCACCATGGAAAAGACGGGAGTGATCGGAGGAAGAGGTTCCATGAGTAAGATCTGGCTTCGGATCTGAGAGAAAGTGTCGTTGAGACCTTACAAAAAGCGGATGATCTGATCGGACTGCTAATGAAGGCGAACGACATTGAGAGCACCACAGGAGCACCTCGGAGTACACGAGCAAGCAGGAAACGGCCTGATAGTCACCAGCTCGTCCAAAGAACGCAAAATCGAGTGAAATACTCGCTGACTATAGCCGTGCCTTGCTTGAAGGCGAAGACCTCATCTTGGAGATCTGAGATCCGAATCAGACTAGCTTCACTGAACCGATCTTGGAGGTCTCTCCACACTTCGACCGCTGTATCGAACCAGAGAACGTTGTGTGCGATGTCTGGAGCCAAGGAACGATAGATCCAGCCAACAACCATCACATTACACCTCTCCCAAGCACCGTGAAGAGGATCTCCAGGAAACGGTGGCGCGACGGTGGGATCGATCAGCGACAACTTGTTCTTCGCCAGTAGCGCAAGGCGCATAGACCTCGCCCATGCATAGTAGTTGTTCCCGTTGAAGACGATGATGACGAGAGACGACGCTGGATTATCTCCGGGATTGAGAAAGTAGGGGTGACTAGGATCGAGCAATCTGGCGGGAGGGACGAGCGAGAAATTCGCCTGAGTTGATTGCGCCGACGAATTCGCCATTGGAGAGCAAATGAGAGTTGAGAAAGCGGAAGTCTGCGAAAAGAAACCCTAGAACGAAATTGGGAAAGTAAGAGAGAGAATCAAGATTTTGACTCCTCTGATACCATGTTGAATCTTATAAAGAAATGGTCTACTTTTCTTATTAATCAAAAATGGTAAAATTTACATTGTCTTTATTTACAAAGTTATACACAACTGTATATTGTAAAATAACATAATAATACAACAATAAACAAATATTACAACTTAGTCCCTATACTACTGTTTTATTACAACGGAGTCCTCCAACGGAGTTATGGTTTTGCTCCATGAAGACCACCAGGGCTAGCGATTGCGGAGCTTTCTTCAGAGGGCAATTATTGACATCAAGGTGCAAATTATGTGGTTTGATTAAGTTTTTAGAGTCAAACAACTTGAAGAAAAATAGCTCTGAATGCTTTCTCTGAAACCTGAGGCTGCTCCTCCACCGCGGCGTCTCCCACCCTCACGGGCCGCCTTCCAGACAATCCGAAGATTCATTCACCTACGCTAGAGTCGCCAGAGGCTTCCTAGGCTACCCCACAGCCCTTAAACTTCAAGGCAGCTCTGGTGGGCATCACAAGGAGACCTCGAGGAAGAAATCACAATGGAATTTTTTTGGCACATGCGACCTCGAAGCAGGGACCTACCAAGGGTAACCACAGTTAAAAATTTATGCACGATGCAAAGAGAGGCTCTATCAACCATGGAAGAAGACACTAGTGGTCCGACTACTTGACCAATCAATCACATCTTCATATTTGTGTTCTCAACTGCGATGGAAGTGGCGATCGACGGGATCACTAGAGATCGTGGATTTGAATAATGATACCTTCCTGGCTACGTTCGGAGATGATCAGGACTATCTTAGAGCTTTTACAGGAGGACCTTGGGTCATCCTTGATCATTACTTGGTGGTTGATCAATGGTCACCTTCTTTACGCACCTCGGACAAGCCTCACAGGTCACTGGTAGCATGAGTTCAGTTTCCAGAGCTACCCATCCATTTCTACCACAAGGAAGTTTTATTAGGGTTTCGAAATCTAGTAGGCAGGACTGTTAAGCTAGACTATCATCCATAGAACCTGGAGAGGGTCAAATTCGCTCACATCGCCGTAGATATCAATATGACAAAGCCCCTCCCAACTCGCATTCGTTTAGATATTGCCTGGCAGAAAGTACTATATGAGAACCTCCCGATCATCTGTTACTCGTGTGGAAGAATCAAGCATCTCTGTTTTTGTTGCTACTTGTCCTCTTTTTCAATCCTAACTAGCATTTTCATAAAATAACTTTCTTTTTTTTTCTCTAGAGGTGTCAGCATTTAGTTCACGTACTTTTGTGTTTAATCAAACAAATTTCTGCTTACTCACGCCATATTTATTTGTTCACGCAATAATGGTGATTACTCATGAACCATTGTGATTATTCACGCACGTTGTTATTTATTCCCAACAATGTAAAATCAATTTTAAAATTTAAAAAATGTCAAAATGAATGTTACTGTATAGATTATAATCGATTTAACTCATTTTTAAAGTAAAATTGAAAATCCAATTTATCTACATAAAATATGGCCAATATAAATTATAGGAAAAAAAGGGAAAATGATTGAAGTTGCATTTGCATGAATAACCAACAAATTACGTGAATTATTATCAAATGACATGGAACTCATGTGAATTATGTGTGGTGACTATAACAAACTTATTCTTGTAAAACCCTTGTTGTCATGATTGTGGTATGTCGGTCAGTTGAACCTGGTTCAATTGGTGTCGGTCATGAAGCTAGTGTTAACAACACCTGTATGGCCTGTATGATCGATTTTTCACCTTTAAGAAAAATGACAATTTACTAATAAAAGAATTAATTTATTGTTTATTTCATGAGTTAAAAGTTAAATGCTGATGTTATTTGTTGGATTCAATTATAAAAGTTTTGGTATTGATGTTAAATATTGTATTTAAATATTAGTAATTTTAATTTAATTCGAATGTTGTATTATATTTTTATATGGATAAGGATTGTAAGTAAATTGTCAATATGAATAAGTATCGTAAATAAGTTGTCTTCAAATATGTTTTATATGTGATTAAATTCATTCGATATTAAAGGTTTTTACATTTTTCACATTTTATTAAATCGACATGAACCGGCACAAACCAACTGTACTGTTGGTCGAATTATTCCACTGCTAAACCGGCACTAGATATAAAGAAAGTAAAAAGCCAAACTAGCACAAAAAAGAGAAAGGAAATGAGAAAGGAAATTTTGTAAAAGAAAAGGGGTAATACCTTATTTTGGCCTGAATTATGATCAAACAGTCAAATTTGGTCCGTGGTTTCAGAAATTAACATCCTAGCCTCAACTATGCAACATATAGACTTAATTGGCCCGACACTTGGTTTGACTGTAAATTTGGACAGTCAACACGCCATGTCATTGCCTCGTCAGTCTAAAAATCATTAAAAATATTCAAATTCAAATTATTTTCCTAATTTCTATTATTTATCATTTTCAAATTAACCAAAAAATAAAATTATTATATTTTTTTTTGTGTAATTTGAAAATCATAAATTTTTTTTTGTGTAATTTGAAAATCATAATTTTATAAATTAACCAAAAATTATCAAATTATTTTAAATTTTTATTTTTTGGTTGATTTGAAAATGATAAATAATAAAAATTAGAAAAATAATTTGAATTTGAATTTTTAATGATTTTTAGGCGAACCTGGCGTGTTAACTAACGGTCAACGTGTTGACCGTACAAATTGATGGTCAAACCATGTGGCAGGCCAATTAAGACTATATGTTGTATATTTGAGGCCATGATTTTAATTTCTGAAACTACGAGTCAAAATTAATTATATGGGGGTTAAAGACACATTTGGTCACTGACATTACTAAATCGGGACATATTTAGTCACTAAAAAAAGTTAATATCAAATTTGGTCACTATAATTACTAAAATGGGAAACATTTAGTCACTCGTCGTTAGTTGCCGTCTAAATTCGTTAAAAGACTCTGTTATGTGCTGACATGGCTAACAGGAGCGTCTAGTCAGCATCATTTTGGGTCAGAAATGGTCAAATCAGACCCGTCATGTCTCTAAACCCGCCATGTCATACACCCAATCCAACCCATGATCCGAACCCAACCCACTTAACAAAAGCAAACCGGGCTCACTTCTCCTTCCTCTCGTTCCTCATCTCCCCACCTCCACCTCTAACAAGCTTCCACCTCTCATTCCTTATTCTCTGGATGGGGGAACAAAATCGCCAACGACGAAAGCAACAATTACCTTCTGATACAAAACAGGGGAAGGCGAAAACCAGCAGTAGCAGAAGTTCAATTGATGGAGGTTTTAGAAGTTCAATTACAACGTCGAGAGCTACGTCCTCAACTTCGATTGCGGGTTGGATGAGGAGGAGTATGACTACATTAATGGGTTTTTAAGAACTCTGTTCTCTTCTCGAGATTAGGGTTTTCAAGAACTCAGGGGATAACTGATGGGTGAGGGATTAGAGGTTCGATCAAGAATGGGGTTTCTCGGATCTGGTTGGTTTCCATGGCGGCAGCAGGGGAGAAGTAGGTGATAAGTGGTGGGTGAGGGATCGGAGGTCCGATCGAGAATGGGGTTCTCGGGTCTGGTTGGTTTCATGGTGGTAGCGGGGGAGAAGCAGAGGATAAGTGGTGGGTGAGGAATAGGAGGTCGACGGCGGTGGTTGGCGCTTCTAGGTTTGGAGGAGAGCTCGTGGATGATGTAGAGCAGGTGTTGGACGCGAGAGCAGGTTGGCACCGATGCCGGCGGCTGCTGGGGGAGAGCAGAATCCTCATGTTGATCTGCTAGGAGGAGAGATATGGCGGATTTGACCATTTTCGGCCCAAAAAGGCGCTGATTAGGTGCTCACGTTAACCACGTCAGCACATAACATACTCTGTTAACGGAGTTGTACGGAAACTAACGGCGAGTGATTAAATGTGTCCCGTTTTAATAATTATAGTGACCAAATTTGAAATTAATTTTTTCTAGTGACTAAACATGTTCTAAATTAGTTTCTCATGTCAAAATAAGGTATTAACCAAGAGAAAAAAGAAAAAATACATCCCAAATATCCAAAGATTCCGATTCTCACAGTTACTACTCCCGTCTAAGCCGAACCCATCACCCACCACTCCACCAGTCCCTCACCTCAGCCCACAACTACTATGCCTCTGCCTCTGAGCCCTTTTCTCTCTCTCTCTCTCTCTCTCTCTCTCTCAACCAGAACCAGAAACACAAACAGTCGTCGCCGAGATGGGTGCGCAGTCTACGCGCAATCCCCGCGCGCCAGAGACGGGAGCCTGGAGACAGAGAGATGCGACTATAAATTTACCCGCAGCCTAGCCTCTACACTTCCCCGTCTCTCTGTTTTCTCCTCTCATGCTCCTCGATTGATTCCTCCTATCGCTCTGAAAGGAAACTGAGATTTCGGATCTCACTTCCTTTCTCTTGTTCCAAATCCGTGTGGGTTGGTTGGTTGGTTGTTGTTGTTGTAGTTGCGTGGTTTAATTATCGTCCTTTCTTTCTCTTGATGTTGCTGTTTTACGTTCCGGGTCAAGTGGGGAACATGGAGACACTACTGGAGGCAGCGGTTGATCGATCTCTTCCTGGTTTTGTGAAGAAAACACAATACTCAAACTACCCACAAAATCCATGAATCGATCGATAAACCTCTGCATCCAGTGCGCTTGTTCCTCAACCCCTTCTCTATTTTGCTTGCATCTCTGAATTTTTGGGTTATTCAATCCTCAATTATGGTCTGTTTTGAGTCTGTCATTTGCTAGATCTGTGACTCTATTTAAAATATGAAAACTGGGATCTATCTGTTTGTTTGTCTTGAGTTCATATACTTACTAGGTGATGGTGGATGAGATTTGCATTCAGCAGGAACTGTTAATCATTCTGCAATCTTAACAAGTTCGTGGAGTGCTATTAGATCTGGCCCCTTTCCTCTGGCTTACCTCAGATTATCTTTTCATGCATTCACTATTATTTGGTTATGCTAGGTAATTAGGCGGTCAAGAGAACAGAGGATTCTTTATGAGCTTCTTTCTGATGGTGGTGGTCAGAAAAGAAAAAAGTAGTAACTTGTCTGATTGAAGTAGTGATAAAGTGATGTATCCATCCATCTTTAGCAAAAGTTCTCTCCGCACTGGGGTTAGTGATGTGGTGGGTAGGCACGTTTGCCATATTGCTTTATTTCCTTCCTCCCCTGCATTTTATTCCTACGAGATATTGTATTAATTTGATCTCCCTAACGGCTTGATTCCAGTGAAATGAAGCCAGCAGAGAATCTGGTATCGCATTCCTTGTACCAAACTTTGGAAATGAGTACCTTTCTTTTTTGGGTTCCTTGTGCGGACCGAGTACTCAAACCTGGGTTGGGGAGGGAGTGAGTAAAGGAGAAAATTTGGGGAACAAAAGCATCTCATCCTAAAAAGAGAGGTGCAGAGAGAAAGAAGAGCACCTGGAAAACGTATGCAAGTGAAAAGGGATATTCTTTTTTTCTCTTATGTCATCAATTGGGGTGTCCTTTATTTGTATATATATATGTAACAATAGTGATTGGTGCAGGTGGTCTGAAAGCCTACTTTCTCCTTACTACTACTACTACTACTACTCAGCAGCAGGTCAATCTTATTCCAGGATACTGAGAGAGAGTTAATGGAAAGATGATGATGCTGATGTATTCTGTTCAGCGGTGTGAGAATCGAATTCACTGCTGGACATTTCTAGACGATAGGGCATTGCTATGGAGCTATTTATTGTGATTCTCATTTAATTGTCCGTTTGTTGTAATACCCTGCACTGTGGGTTACTACAGTTGAGAAAGTAGGACTAATGATGATGTCATTCTGGCCTTCAGTAATAACGATCTCATTAGGTTTCCTTCTTTGGCCAAGATCTGCCTATGCTATGATGGTAGACAGTATTTGCTAGTTGAGATCCTCAACAGTCGAGTGAATTCTCTAGGCTGTAATACTGACCCTGAAGTTTCCGTAAAAGGTGGGTTGAATGTCTTTCATCTCTTTCGCTACCTGCCCTGCCCCATTAGTTCTAAGAGTTCCTTGGCAACGAGATTTTTACTTCCTGTTGATAGACACAAAGCGACATGGTTCGAGCCAAGTGGGCTCTCGCATGAGCCATTAGTTGAGTATTTGAGGGGTTGCTGAAGTCGTGAAATCGATGTTTTAACTTGTTATGGTGTCGAGTGGAACAAAAGTCTCCTGGACGTACAGAGACCGGAGAAAGGTTGAAGGCGAGTGTCGGCATCAAGATATGAGGATGCTTGACGTGACATTATTTGTTTTACCAACGGGTGTATTGTTTCTAGGGTAATCCATGTTACCCTGCATTATTTTCCAACAAGCCCCTAAACTAAAATTTAGAGGTACGTTTGCTTGTAGGATTTTGATGAGAGATTTTGCCTCAAAATCCCATATGTGTTGGATTATGGTCCAAATCCATGTTTGTTGATAAAAATGAAGTTGGTCTAAATCCGTGGAGGCCACAAATGTGGGATTTTCTTTTGCTCAAAATCCGTGGACCCCATGGATTATAAAATCCCACCTCATGAGGTAAGATTTTGAGAAGTGCCAAAATTCGTGGACCCCACTAACTCTGAATGACCAAAGTATCCTTAACAAAAAAAGAAAAATACTTTATGATGATAGGACCAAAGCAAACATGCAATTTTTAAAATCCAACACAAATCCAACATAGCAAAATCCAACATAATCGTTCAATTCCAAAATCCAAGGTTTTACCAAAATCCTTCCTTTTTTAAAAATCCCACAAGCAAACGATTATAGGCTTTGTCTAAAATTCATTGTTTGCTTCAAGTATTTAGAGATAACAAATGCATGAGGCTCATGGATTTTGAGGGTTCAATTCCATGGGCCCCACGAATTTGTAAATCCATCTCTTTAGGTGAGAATTGATCATGGACTTTTAAGTCAATAGTTTTTTACGAACATACCCCTCATTTGTTTTCTTCTTATATCATTGAGGACAATAAAAGTAAATTTCACTTCATATATGCAAATTTAAATTAACAAAAGCCATAATAAAATCCATGAAACAAACAATGGTGTTTTTCACATCCATAATGAACCCAAGACCCTCATATATCTATGGTTTTTCAAAACCCAAGTTATACCAAAATCTTACTCATTTGGAGATTTAAGGATACAATAATGTAACAATAATATGTTTCTTATACCGCCCTTCAGCTATGGGAAAGGCCGCTGCTAACAATTTTTTTTTTAACATTTTTTCTGCTAATAGGAACATTTTATTGAATGATTTTTAATTGAAATGAGTTGACAACAATTAATATGGGGAAAGAGTCCGAGTTTATAAAAAGTTGAGGGAAAAATCTTATAATATATAAGTTACAAAATCAAATTCTCTCAATACAACACTTATTTTTTTTTTTTGCCAAACAACTAAAGTTTTTGTTGTTCGGTGGATGTAACACCCTAACCCGATAGGGTGCTACTTTTATCAAAATACCCTTATAATTCAATGAACATTAAATACATTGAAAGGTAGCGGAAGCGTCGTACTAAAGAAAACAATAGACATAAAAGTCAACATGGTTTGAAACATCTCTTGACGTAATAAATATTATCGTAAAATCACATCAAGTCTCTCGTTCCAGTAAAAAGATGAACTTAACTTCTTGCTTCTGGAGTCCTCTGGAGCCATTGATGAACCGTCAAATCCATATGCGTGCTTATGTGCTTCTATGATTCCTGAATGCGGGCGTTGGGGTCAGTCCTAATCCTAGTTTCGCTTTAATGGTGAAAATTCATAACAACATATGCTTGAAATAAATAAACAAAGATGCTAGTGCAATGCTTGGTACATGATCATATGCTTAAAATCAATTGAATCTTAATTCTTGTGAAAGGGGCCCCCGAACTCGAATCAACTAGCACACCGACCGGCACCAATCGTAACATACGTATATGTGAGCTTCCACCTAGTGGGAAGTAAGGTAACCGCGTGCTATCTAAGCAACTGACCGGCACCAGCATAACTTATCGTAATCATAAACTTCCACCGAGTGGGAAGTAAGGTAGCCGCGTGTTGCTAGTCAAGCGAGTGCTTAAAACATATTCTTACTTGATAACTTGGTAACTGGTAACGTAGGTCCATAAACTTGCTTAAAACATAACTTGTATATGCTTGCTTCAAAACGTAGCTTCATGATGAAATGCAATGTCATGCTTGCTGAACATAAATAAACTTACCGTGAACATGCACATAGAGCATATGAGCGTAACTTATGTAAAAGACATGATTAAAGCGGAATACTAACTAGCCCCCCGCAAACCATGCACCTTATTAGCTTAAGTCGGTTGATCTGATCATTTAGCCATCAACTCAAGAAATCGGTGCTCTTCATGGGCGAAATGCCTTGGCAAACCTATGATGAAAGTCGAGGTTAGATCGAATGGGTTTCGGGTTCTTAGCGACGACTTTCCCAATTTTAACTACTTTGCAAGATGTGCAAAGTATAGGGCTTGCTAACATGGTATTAAATTTAATTACTCTCATTGGGTCTCCTAATTCAACTTACATTTCTCTGAATTGATCTATCAATTAACTTGGGTTATTAATCAATAGATTAACTACTTCTATTATTCTAGTGAGTCACAGCTAGTAAGACTTATTTTACTAAGAATAATATAACTTCCTAATCCAATTAATTATCATATGATCTTCTACTAAACTCGTCATAATATTCTACTCATTAAAACCAAACTTTGCTAGCTATTAACGTAAATGATCTTAACTTATTAAGTTGCTTAACGAACCTCTTGAATACACTAATAATCATAATATTAGATAAAATAAATCACTAATTCAAATTAAATCATTTTCTGAACTACTAAGTAATTAATGTCCTAATCCATACATACGTATTAAATCAACTACGTAAAAATTTAATTGAAGATACATGATTAAATTATTAACCTAGAAATGTCTCTTATAAAAAATTTTATTACAGTTTTATCTCTCTCTCTCTCTCTCTCTCTTTTTTTTCTCTTTGAGCGTTTCTAGGGTTTGCGATGGCCGCTATCGTTGACGGAGCCTCGTCGGGCGCCATCAGCGGCGGCAGGTCCTGGGCATCGTTGTTTCATGTGGCAGAGGAGAATCGGCTGGAGTATTTTGAGCCTGAGATGGTGAATGATTCGCTAATAATCCCCAAATCGGTTATCGAGGAGGGGGAGAAGAAGTGGGAGCATAGCTTCGTCGGGCGATTCCTGGTTTCTCTTCCATCGCTATCGGTGCTTCGGAATTGGGCTAACTGGATCTGGGGTAGGGATGGGGCTGTCAAGGTTTCATTACTAGAAGATCATCTTGTTCTTTTCCAATTTCCCACAGAAGAGGTTTGTCGATGGGTGTTCGAAGGAGGGTCGTGGCATTTCAAAGAGAAAATTGTTTGTCTCAGGAGGTGGGTTCCAGGGATTAAAGCGTTGGATATTGATAACACTGTGGTTCCTGTTTGGATCAATCTTTCTGGGCTCCCTGCGGAGCTAGTCTTGAGAGAGGGATTGGGACGGATTGCTAGTGCACTGGGCAGACCTCTATGTATGGATCATTCAACTATAAAGCGAGAACGTGTAGGTCGGGCTAAGGTGTGTGTGGAGGTTAGTGCGAAGAAGGCGAGGGTTGACAAGATCAGTGTTAATCTAGATGACATGGCTGAGTTCTCCATTGGAGTGGAATACTGTGGGCTTCCGCAATGCTGTGCTAAGTGCCAGGTTTTTGGGCATGACTCTGCAATACCGAAGCCAAGGGTGCAGACAATGCAGGTTTGGAGAGTTAAGCAGGCTCAGGTGGTTTCTCTGGACAAAGTTGTAGAAGGGGAGGGAGTCAAGGAGGTGGCAGTGGAAAAATTGGATAAAGGGAAAGAAGTTGTGGTTGAAGCTACCCCTCCAGTAACTCCAAGTGCCTTACCTTCTCAGGAGGAATTTAACAAAGTCATCAATGGAGTTAAACCTAAACCAAAGAAAAATGCTTCACCTGTTCTTCATTCAAATGCTTTTGAGGTGTTGTTGTGGTAGCATGATGATCAGTTTGCAGACTCCACCAAAGAAGACAACTAGGGAGGGCTTACGCAGTCAGGGAGGAGCCACTAAGGTGGTGAAACCTCGACAATGACAGTTCTAATATGGAACACGAGGGGCTTTAATAGCCCAAGGAAGCATGTAGCAGTCCTTCAGTATCTGAAAATGAACAAGGTAACTTTGTTTGCTCTATTAGAAACTAGAATACAAAAAGAAAAAAAGATTGGGGAAATAAGGCAGAAGTTCAGTGGATATCAGTTTGCACATAATTACAAAAATCACAAATTGGGCAGGATCTGGATTGGTTGGAGTGACGAGGTTCAGTTAAGGATTTTGGCTACAGAGGAGAATTACATTCATACTTTAGTGTCTCTTGAGAATAATGATCAATTTTTCTTCACATCGGTTTATGGATCTAATGAAGAGAAAGAAAGGCTGGTTACATACAAGAGTTTGAGTAAATGGAAAGTTCAGGGTTTCACTTGGATGATTGGAGGGGACTTTAACGCTTTCCTGCATCCCTCGGAGGCTTCGAATGAGGTGTCTATTTCTAATAGTACTACTGATCTCAGAGAATGGGTTAGACAACTGGAAATTGTGGATCATACTGCCACTGGACAATTATTCACGTGGTCAAATCAGCAGAAGGATAATCCAATAGCAAGAAAACTAGATAGACTGATGGTGAATGTTGAATGGTTGACTGGTTTTCCTGAATGTGTGGTTGCATTTCTAGCTCCAGATTTCTCGGATCACTGTGGTATTCTGGTTACCCCTAGACTTCCAATGAGGAAATTTCCAAAACCATTTAAGTTTTTTGACATGTGGCTTCGGCAAGAATCTTTTAATCCACTCTTAGAAACAAGCTAGGCTACTGAAGTCTCGGGTGTTGGGTTATGGAGTATCAAACAGAGGTTAAATATATTGAAATAGGAGTTGAAAACTCTGAATAAGAAGGAGCCGTGGGATATCTCTGGGAAGGTATTGGAGAAGGAAGGGGAGATGAAATCTATACAATTAAGAGCTCTAGAAGACCCTTCACAGTATCATTTTGCATAAGTAGGAGGGTTACTGAGGAATTTTTACACTTAAAGATGGCCGAGGAGTCTTTTTCAATTAACGGTCCAGGATCTCATGGCTCTCCCTGGGAGATTTGAACTCTTCTTTCTTTCATAACATTGCTAAAATCAGGGCTGCCAGGAAACAGATAAGAAAGCTCATTGCCTCCTCTGGGGAGGTGCTTACAAATGTGGGGGATATAACAGAGGAAGCAGTTGGCTATTACAAGCATTTATTTGGTTTTGTGAATCAGGAGGCCTCTGTAGATGAGGCTCTTATTGAAGGGTATCTTACACATAAGCTTGGCCTCGAGAATAAGAATGATTTGTGTAGGGAAGTGACTAGCAAGGAAATCTATGAAGCTTTGTTTGATATGAACCCAAATAAGGCACCAGGGCCAGATGGTTGGACTGTGCACACTTCTTTCAAAAATGTTGGGGGACTATTGGACCAGATGTTGTAGAGGGGATTCAGCAGTTCTTTAAAGACTCTAAAATGCCAAAGGTATGAATTCTGCCTCCTTAACCCTTGTGCCATAGGTTGCAAATGCTGATAAATTGAACTCATTTAGACCTATTGCCTGCATTAATGTTCTCTACAAAATCATTTCCAAAGTCCTAGCAAATAGGTTGAAGAATGTACTTGCCTCTGTCATTAGTAGGAACCAGTCTGCCTTTATTAAGGGGAGAAGCATTGTTGAGAATATACTGATGGCACAGGAAATTCTACATAATTACAAAAAAGTAAATATTTCCTCAAGATGTGCAGTAAAGGTAGATCTGCGTAAAGCTTTTGATTCGGTTGATTGAGGATATTTGATGGTGGTTATGGAAAAAATGGGGTTTCCACAGAGGTTTTTGCAGTGGATTAGGGTCTGTTTGAGCTCTGCTACTTTTAGCATCTCTGTTCATGAGAGTTTGTTTGGGTTTTTTTAATGCTGATAAGGGGGTTAGGCAAGGGGATCCCCTTTCTCCTTACCTATTTACCATAGCCATGGAACCCCTTACTAGAATGCCGAATCAAGCTGCTTCTCAGGGTATACTTCCTTTCCATCCACAGTGTGAGAGCTTGTGATTAACCCATCTGAGTTTTGCTGACGACCTATTAATATTCACTGAGGGGTCAGCATATGCTTTTAAACAGTTTGAGATCCATATTGAATGTTTTTTACAAGCTTTCTGGGCTCCAATGTAATCCAGATAAGTGTGAGGTTTTCTTTGGGGGTTATGCGCATCAGTTTAAACAGAATGCTCTTAGGATATCTGGATTCAAAGAAGGGACTTTACCTATGAGGTACCTGGGTCAAGTAGAGTTCCGATTGAAATAGGATCCACACAAGGAAAAGCACTTGCCATTCGTTGGTTAACCCATGCCATACTCCCAGGAAAAGCTCGAACGACCTTCAACAAAAGGGTACCTGTACCCGAAACCGACACAGGTCCAATTAAGTTAGTATGAAAAACAAAAACAAAAATGGGATCGGACCCATTAACGAACTCATGCCTTTTTTCGTTCATGGTTCGATATTCTAATGTCCAAGGCGTAGAGGAACAACACCAATCCCGCAATTTTTCCTGTTTCTTTTACAGAGCTTCCCTCTTAACAGGCTGATCTTCCCCAAGAGCTCACATCGACGGGAAGGTTTGGCACCTCGATGTCGGCTCTTCGCCTCCTGGGGAGGGGTTATTTCTTGGTTTCGTCTAGCCAGAGCCCCCGGTAGCACAGCCGAGATAGCGACGGGTTCTCTGCCCCTGCGGGGATGGAGCGATAGAATTTTTGAGCAAGGATATGGGCTCGTGTGAGTAGGAAACATCAAATAATTTACTCCAAAGTCTGATAGATAACGAATTAATCGGATGAGAGTAGGCAGATTGATTCGAGTGGAGAGAAATTTTTTTTTTTGAAGTGAAGCGAAGCAAATTGCTTCGGCTCCACGAACAGAGGAATGTGTCGGTTGTACCGGTTGTGTTTGAAGCAGTCTTAATAATAAATCAAGAGGCAGTACAGTAAAAGATAAGAAGAAATGCGGCCCCCTCCTACATATTTTAGAACCTCTCCTAGAAAGATTCTCGATTCAATAGAAGCCCAAAGAGGTGAATAGAATAGGGTCCCAAATCAAATAAGGAGATATATATGTAAAACTCGATAGAAGAACCTTTTTTGTTTTGGTCCCAATTCACCACTAAACAAGTCCGAACCATGAGAGTTTCTTCTCATCCAGCTCCTCGCGAATGAAATGCTTAAAAAATGGGTTCTACCAGTTGAGCTATCCCAACCATTTCTGACCCGCCGACTTCCTCACTTTACTAAATGGATTGGGTCTATGTCAATTGTGCTCTGTAAAAATTGGATAGATTCGATCTATAGTCATTGGAGCCTCCTAAAAAGATTTACTAAATTCATCGAGTTGTTCCAAAGAATCAACCAAAACCCGTTTCCTTACCACTTGGCCACGCCCCATTTCTATTTTCATTCAATACTACTAAAAACTAACATTATTGTCCTAGGCGTAAAGGAACAACACCAATCTTCGGATCCAAGAAACAACTCTCAGAGATCTTTTTTCCTTTTGGAAGATACAGGGGGATGCCGAAGGCAGGGCTTGTGACTGGAGTGCAGTCGTAACAAGGTAGCCGTACTGGAAGGTGCGGCTGGATCACCTCCTTTTCAGGGAGAGCTAATGCTTGTTGGTTGGTCCGGTCTATTGCTCTTTCCTTGTGCCTATGCAACAACAATCCAAGGGCGCATACCCAGACGGAAACTAAGTTCCCACACACGACCCATGTAATCCTTAATTGTTATTTGAACAAGTAAAAGCTATGTCTAGGTCCGAGTGGGGATAGTCTTTCTCTTCTGCATGTCCACGGAGTTTTGAAAAATCCAATCATCTCAGAGATAGATAGAGCATATAAGTTATCATGCTTGCATATCCACCATTTGAGTCTCCAACAATTATTATAATAATTACATATCCGACCTTCAACGCTTTGTCTAGCCATAAATCCTATTTTGTATTAATTGAGCTTGGTTGACTTTGTATACCATTCCGTTGTAAATAAATGATCTTATCATAGATCCATTGGGGTCTTGAAATTATAGAATAATGGAAACAGCAACACTAGTCGCCATCTTTATATCTGGTGAACATGAAGTAGATTATCATATTCCTAAAATTCAATTCTATGCGAAATTGAAAAAAAAAATTGAAAAAAAATAAGGGCGGCATTGATCAATCATAGAGAGATTAAACAACTAAAACGAAAAGAAAGATGGATTCTTTGCACCCGTCTCCGCAACATTTTTTTACATTTACAATTACAAAAAAAGGAGGGTTTTCAAACGAGTAATCCAGTAATTTAGTAGGCTGGCAGGAAAAAAGGGTATGGGATAGAATCACAATATTATTATATTCAACTACCCTCAATCCTTTATCCTATTAAAGGAAAGAAATTACCTTTCTAACCAATGTAGATCTAACGGCGGTTAGATGATACTGTTCAGATAATTGTCCAAAAGAAGGATGATGTCTTTCTAAATTATTGATTCCAGTTAGTTAAGAGGGATCTTGAACTAAGAAATAGATTCTAGAAGCTAAAAAAGGGTATCTTGAGCAATTTCATACATAGAGTTGAACATAGTAAAATAAGAACGTCAAGTAATTAATATTATACCTCCAGGACCAGAACTTCTTGTTTCAGAGGGCGAATCCATCAAACTTGATCAACCATTAACGAGCAATCCTAATGTGGGTGGACTGATTTTAACAGCCGGCACAGTAACCATGAAAATGGCTCCTTCGTTAGTGAGATTATATGAACAAATGCCTGAAAACTAACAAATGGAGGTGACCGCCTTGCGTTAGGTTCATTTTCAAAGTTACCGTGAAAAAAAAAATAGTTCATTCTATTCAATATCTCTATGGGGTAATGAAGAATAAA